GCCCCGGCCTGCGGGCGGAAAGCGGGCACAAAGCGGGCACAAAGCGGGCACGGGCGGCGACACCCGCTGCGGAGCGGGGGGAGCGGTCTGCTCCTCCCGCCGCCCGCAATGGCGCGGGATGAACGTCTCCGGCCGAGCAGCGCTTTCGACACCCGTGGTGAAACTTCCAACGTAAGCGGGCGCTCCAGGTGCTAAAACCAACGTCCAGCACCAGCTTTCTGCTTCGCAAGCAAGCGTTCCCCAAAAACTGCACACTGGCCTAGGAGAAGAGGTACCCTCTTAAACAGAATTTTCTGACAAGTGCTATTTCCCAGAGATTTCTGAAAAATCTCTATGTGCGTTCCACCAATTCCTTTCTAAACGGAGGGCAAACCCACCAGTCTTCCCTGACTTAAGGAGTTAGACAACCGAAACTGAGGTGGAATGCCCTCACTGCAGCAGTAAAGTATCTGACTTCATTCTATGTTTAAAAAAAAAAACCAAAACACACACACAAAAAACCCCACCAAACAAAAACACAAACCAAAACAACCAAGCAACCCCCAAAAACCCAAACAACCCCACACCTTCAAATAGCAAACACGCAATTTAATTGTAACAGACTTGAATTTAAGAACACATTGACTTGAAGTCTTCTAGACAGGTAAGACTTTGGACTCAGTGTAATTCAGCACAGTAGCTCCGGACTATTTCAGATTATTATTTAAGCAGCAATATATAAAAGATTGTATCTCTGTTACAGAGCATTCCACTCAATAGCATGGCACTTCTGGCTCAGAAGTCACATTTTTCTTAGTAGTGCTACAGTTGAACTAAAACTTTTCATGACTAACAGCAGCTGTTGAAAAGAGTGGGGGGAAGTATCTGAGCCCTACTTGATTTCAACTTCTTAATAACAAAATATGAACACCAACAGTTTAAATCAGTATCTTAAGCTAGATAACCAACCAAAATTCTTCAAGCTCATACGAAAGAGAAGCCGTCTCTCTGTCAATTTTGTCTTCTGCATGAAATCCCCTCCTCCTCTGAGGCGTTACACGCACCACTTGATTCTTTCCATGTTCAGAGTAAAGTTTTTCAGATTTTTTTTTTTCCTTTCACCATTTTTCCTGATAACATTAAGTAATCTGGAAGTGGTGTATACATGTGGATGTAGGTGGCAGAGGAGGATATCCTATGAATTCTTTTCAGTGTGATACTAATATCGGGAACACCTAACCTGTAAAAACGTAACAACAAGATATTATCCCATTGTAAAGATGGGGACATGGGGACAGAGAGAAGAAACTAATCTGTGTTGGGTAATTGCAGACATAGGAAGAGATCTCAGAGATCGTGGGTTACAGGAGGGTATTCTAGCTAGAAGGGAGGAAACACTGCCGTCTCCCACCTCCTTTAGGCAGTTTTCCAGTTCTCAAATGGAAAAGGCAATTAAAAATGTTGTCGTAACTCAGGCTCTGGGCCTTTCTTAGTGGCAGTAATGGTGTCAGCAGAAATCAAAAGACTTCCAGTATGTTATGGCTTGTGCTGATGTCAATAGGGGTGGTTGCACTGTGCAGATTAGAACCCATCACAAATTACCAGATATGCTGCACAGGGAAACAAAAATGCAGTCGAGAAGCATAAAGCATGCAGCATCTACCAACACTCCAGTAAGGATTCAGGGTATTCTCTCCATATATATACACAAACATTTTCACAACAAAAGTAGGAAACTTCAAGGAACAAAACAGGAGAAATCAGTATGCTAACTTGAGGCGATAGTCCAACCTTTTTCAGGAATCTGCCATGGGCAACAGTAAGTGACAGCTAGTGATGTTTTCTTGGACAGTTTGGCTTATCACCTCATAAAGCTGAAACAGGAACAGCTGCAAAGCATGGGGAGGTGGAAAAAGAAGATAAACAACTAACTTCGACTGCTTTTAATAGGACCGGCTTTGCCACTTTACAGCCTTTTGGCATTAATGCATTTAAGCCACTAGATGGCAAACGGCCTTTGAGGCAGCCAGCAGCAAGACACACTGGTCAGTCCCCTCAGCACATGCTGGAGGTTAGACTGAAAGTGAGCATTTTTACTCCAGTAGCATCTTTCAGATTCTGCTGCAGGTTATGTTAGAACAATAGTTAGAATAGGCCAACTCCTAATAGCAATGTGGCACAACACAAGTCAAAATCAGAGTAAGAACAGTATTTCAAACTTACAAATTGACCTGTCAGCTAACTTGATTTTATTCACAACTGTTTGAGAGCAGGCTTAAAAACTGAGCTGACAGAAAATGCTTATTTTTAGTAACATTATTTGAGAATAGGTATAACTTAAAAGGAGGACCAAGTTACTGACTGGCAATACGGTGTCAAGAAAGCTTTACGAGAATATGCAGTCAAAAGAATTGTTCTCCAATTCCCACAACAGGCAATGCCCACAGGAACTTTCCTGCATCCTCTCACTGCAACATATATTCCTTTTGGTTGTCTTGAGGCAACTGTTTGTGGCAGCATACTCTAAAATAGTTTACTTTCCTTAACAGCAAAGGAGGCAAGATAAACTAACTACACTTCCAGAGTTAGGCTGCATATGGAACTAAACTAGGCTAGATGTTCCTCTAGCACAGAACACACACTTTGGCTTTGGACAATGGGATAAACCCCTGTTATTATTAGAGCTATGCGGAACCTCTATGGCAGAGAGAACCCCTTTGATCTACTACCTCTTCCAAAGCTAAAACAGTCCAAAAAGACCAGACAGTTGTATGTACAGACCTTAGAATGAGTTGGGACTATTCCTTCAGACTTTCAAAATGAAAAATCTTCATGTTTCAATAGGTCAGTAGCTGTGTTCCACTTGAGATAACTGTATTTCATTACCCCATTAATAAAGTAGTTCAAGATGAAAGGTGGACTTCAACTTCACATCACAACCTTTACATAAATTGAGAGTAATCCAGAAAATTTAAAACCTCTTAAGAGCAGTTGGAGACCTTCCACAGTATCACTTCCTTCAGAGGGGAAATCCTCTTCAGCTAAAATATTATAGCTAATGTCCTTCAGGACAAAAATTCCCAAATTAATGACAAAGTGAGACTGGAAAGCAGGAATCTATTAAATCAGCAGTGAGACCTTGAAACAAGACTGATCAGTTGGAACTTCTCATCTGTTCTAAAACAAAGATCTCATTGCAGAACCAAAATAAAATCCAGTGTAAATTATCAATAGTAAATTTGCATTTTATTGCAAATAAAAACCCAAATATATACTGTACTTTATAGCTAGTAATATATTTTAATATATAATAATATATAATTATTAATATCAAGAAACCCACTTCATTTTATTTGTGGGTTTCCTTTCCCTTAAAGGTCCCCCAAGGAATCAAGTTAGAAAACCAACTGTGCTATGAAATAATAGGCAAAGTTCTCTGCTGCTGCCCGATACCTCCTAGAATAGTGCATGATACAACACAAAATGACAGACTAGGCTGTGAGCTGAAGACTGTAGATTTCTGTAGCTGCTGAAAGTTTTTAGCTTTACAGTCCAGATCAATTTTAGAAACAAGCAAAATACTCAAAACCCCTGGTGCTGGCTGAGAAACCTTCCCCCTCAACAGCATCCTGTCCAGTTGATTCAGTGCAAAGACCAAGCAAGATCCCCGACACCCACAGGGAGCAGCCAAATGCTGCTGCTCATGTGCCCAGCCCTGCTCTGTGCCTCTGCAGCTGGAAGGAGAGGCTCTGAGGGCAGCAGGCCTTCCCAATAGCATGTACTGCATTAAAAGACAGATACACACTTCTCTTCCCATCTCTCTGGCCTGCAGCATGATTCTGTCTCACGGCTGGACACGTGGATTCTAGCAAAGGAGATGAGTGGGTACAGAACTGGAGCTGTACACTACTGGCTCAGCAGAGCTCACTTATCACAATAGCCCACACTTTGTAGGGAGTGTGACACTTGATAGAACTGCTCTGCCTCTGCTACAAGTCCACACTTTGCCATTTGATGAACAAGGACAAAATACTTTATTCCTGGGGTGGCAAAAGATTGTTTTCCCTATACTGCTCAGAAGCCTTGTGCCAGCATAGGACAAGTTATGTTAAGTCTGGGTTTAATTCTCTTTGTTTCTTTTTTTAAAAATAATGCATAGAAGAGATCTGTCTCTCTATTCCTGATCATATAAAGCTTGTTCCTTTACAGAAATAACAAGGAGGTTGGGGTCAAAGCAAGGAGTCATATGGAGACTTACCAGACTAGGGACTAAATCTCATTAAGCTTTCTTCCCTCCTCTGAGCACCCCTCTCAGATCAGGGATGTATCTGGGCCTGAGGATGTAAAATTTCCAATTCAGTGCAGAACTGCAGGAAGCAAAAGAAGAGAATCACAGGCCATTCACTAGCAAAGGACACACTAGGAGTTACTGCTGTGGGAGCTTCTCTTCCCTCCAACCAAAGTGTGCCCAGAGGACTTTTTAGATTAGTTTCCTCAGGCCTTGTGGACTGAGTTAATCTCTCTGTGCATGTTAAATCATTAAACAAGTCACTTTTTTTTTTCCTGGCTGCATTATTAGTTCAGCAAGGATTTAATTTACATCCTTTCTTTGGGATGGAAGAATAAATAGGCTTTCTGAAGAATGCAGAGGAGTGTTTTTTTCTGTGATACGCAACATTTGAAAAATGCACTGTCTCAGCTTTCCAGAGTAGCCTTTGACATTCTAGTGTTAGCATTAATTTTCCTCACACATTTTCACAGTGCATTGGCCTTTAGTGCACCATTTATATGTAATTTGACCAACTGGTTTTGCTGCCTTATCAATTTCACCTTTAAATTCAACTTTTATTTATTGGAAGATTTTATGTATTAAGCATATGGAAGATTGACACTTTCTTATATGCAAAATGTAATGTAAACCAATGTTCAACTCAAAGGAAAAGCAAAAAAAATGCAGCAAATATAGAAGTCAAACAGTAAAATATTTAAGGATGGGATAGTGCTAAGTTTTCAAAAACAGTGCAAAATTATTACACTGCATACTTTACAGTAGATTAGACAGCTTGTAAGAAATAGTATACAAGATTAAAAGAGCCAAAATGAGTGTTCTGCACAATGCAGTCTACTTCTAATAAGCTTTACACTTTTCTTGTTCTCTTTGCAATTTAAAAATCTGTAACATTCAACATACATTCTAAAAGTCTACAGAAACCTCCAAGTTCTTTAATCTGGGGAAAGTAATAAAGTCCAGTAGTTTTGTCACTGGAACTGGCAAACTCCTTGCTTAAAATTCTTGCAAAATTTGTACATTCCTTAAACATGTACATAATCAATTCTGCACAATCTTTACTGTCCTGTGTGTTCTAAAACTAAGCATTTCCCTTGTATGTATTTATGTATGTTCAACTGAAGATGATTTCTATTTTGCCTTCCTCAAGGATAGAAATACAGAAATCATTTTCGCTATGATCTAACAGTCTCTGCCTTACCTGCCTCTTAACTGGCTTAGGAAACTTTGTATCAGCCCCTCACTTCCAACACTGAATAGAAAATTTATCTAATTGCTGTGTGCTTTGGAAGCCTATCGATACATAAAATGAGAAAACTAACATGGAACATCTCTTGATCTTTTTGGAAAGCTTATAATGTCAGCAATAATCATAAATAAGAAGTTCCCTTGTGGATTGTTTCCTTCACCTTGTAAAGTATTAACTGCCTTCATTTATTGTTCATGTCAGATATACACAACTTGAACTATCACTATGATAAGTACTGTTTCTGGACAGTAGTATATCCCAAATTCTAACCTACAAATCTCAATTATAAAGGTGGCGATGAGTAAGTGCTGAGGCAACACATGTACATTTTTCCTCCTTCCTATGCATTCTGTAAAATTAACTTCACAGTTATACTTGCTGCTGCAGATTTGGTGTTGACTCATGCATTTCTACTGAACATACAGAAGTGTTTTCTGGAGCATAATAGCCATAGTAAAGTTATAGAAACAGATTTTGCAGCTGTGAGCACTTGCACTTGAAAAATCTCTACTAGCTAGTGCTTGGCATCTTTACACTACAAAATCATTCCATAAGCTCCAGGCTACCTCCCTTGAGGAAAAACACACTTGAAAGATAGAGAGGTGCAGAAAGCCTACAAAAGAGACTTCTACTTGCTATACAAACACATACATTCACAAACACTATGTGCTTTAATAGTCACACAGAAATAAGGCTTTGTTCATTAAAACAGTTCACAGCTGTTGAGTACTCATGCAGAATGTTCCTCCTATATTTCAGAATTCAACAAGAAGTGTTATTAAATTTGCTTTGACCTCAGCATGACTTGTTTGTGCATGAAACAGCCTTGAGACTTTTAAAATCAACAGTGACAATAACTCAATGAACATGGCAAAATACACACAGTGGAAGGATTCAACTGGCAAGTGTTTCTGAAACACACATTAGAGGAGTTTAGATTCTTAAAAGGCACTGAATACAAGATATTCCTGTTAAATATTCCAGTTTCTCTTTCCTTTTGTTCTTTGAGTCACCTGAAGAGTTAGTTTTGAAGTAGATGCAGACATGCAGGAGTTATACTTAACAACCAGGAGGATATCTGACTCAAAACAATGTTTTTGTTACTTAAGTAATTCAGCATCTAGGAGAAGAATAGCTTAAAGGAATGCCTTATAAAAGTTGAGAATACAGAACTTGTGAGTCACCATACACTGCCTTCAAATTACATTTGTAAGATATTATATAATATTGTGCATGATCACCTGTAGAACAGAATTAATGAGTCAGGTATCTCTTCATGTCATTTATTTCTATCTCACTTGAGAGCTGACTTCCATTCTTCACTGAAATAACCCCTCTGAGCAAGACAGTGATTAGTCTGACAAATTGACAGAATAAATTATCTCCATCCCCCTTTTATGGGACCTCACCTAGCATTCATCACAGTTATGGCTAAGTGAAATACATTTTTTTGGATTCCTCTTATTCCTTAGTGACAAGCAAGGAATCTCTTAAATAAAACAGTCCCATCATATGTTTACCTATTCCGTTTCAGAAACTCCCACATTATCCTTCAACAGCTAAACTGCACTTTCAGTACAAAAACCTGAAATCCAATTAGGAAAAAAACCCAAAAAACTCACTAGCAATACAGGAAACAGAACTTAACGCTATGCCCAGCGGACCTTTCTCAGCTACAAATAAGGGAAAAGGAGAGCTCCCAAAAAGCCTATTTACCTTTTAGTGGGAGGTCAACTAAGACCAACTTTTTGATATAGAAGAACAATATTGAGAGTCAAAATCATCTCTGCCTCTAATCCAGATGTCCATATAGTCAAGTTACTGAGCTTCATTGCCTCCATTTGAACTGAAAACATGACTTCACTGCAGGTCTTTCTCTTCAGATGAAAGTACAATTATTTTCTCATAGCTCAAGGAGACCCAAGGTCACAAGACAACTCACCTTGACAAGTCCTACTGTTTTCAGTTCCTTAGGAACAAAACTCTACTCTCCAAGTTTAGCTTCACTGCCATCCTAGCTGGCTCAGTCTGTAGGCTTATACGGAACAAACAAACATGGGATAGCTTAGGTCTGAGGACACCAGCTGTCCCCAAACATTACAGTTCTGGTGATGAACAAATAGAAAAGACAAGTGAGATTAGTCATCACATGTTTCTGCAAGTCTTTAAACACAAGATCTTGTGCCATGCTAACAATGTTAGGGGATTTCCCCAACCTTGCCCCTTAAGGAGATTGTAAAGTAGAAGTCCCCTCTTGCTTCCATACTAAATAAGCTGTTCTGTTTTATTTCCTCTTAAAGACATACTTTTTCTCCGCTACGCCAGTCACTCTGAGTTTGTGCGCTAAGCAGTCAAGTAGAAAAAAGTACATCCCTTTGTTTAGCCAAGTTGTAACTGTATTACCAGTTGAACCATGATGTGTCAACAGTTTGTCTGTAACTTGGAAAAAAAATAAGAGAGAAATTAACATATCCACTCTCACTACTATGATGTGGTTGAGGGGGTGATTGTTTGGGAGTTTTTTAAGCAACAGGTATATTGGGCTAAACTCATAATTGGAATAAAGCCCCTAAAGATAACAGCAGCAATCAACTGTTGCCTCAACTGGGCTATGCATTTTAGCTTCCTCTCTCCCTCTGCAGGTTCATGCTTTAGTTGCACAGGGTAAAAATTTGCCTATTACAACAGAAAACGCTGTCATCCTTTAATGCATTCCTGATCACGCCTACATCCTGGTGGAAAGATTGGTTGTAGTACTGTCAAAACACTTGGGCATAAATTATTAGGCAGCTTACTCAAATACAGGAGGTATAGCTTTAACATGACTAGAAAGGCACTCTAGACACATTTAATGGGCTCTGTTTCCTTCCCCTGATAATCATATGAGGGCTGCATGGGCACCTTGATACTGGTATCTTTATATTCTTTATAATTCATATGTTCCTAAGGACTTATACTGTGAAAAGAGCTATATATGCTACCAGATATTCCATTTTACCAGAAAGTCTGCATCCCTACCAGGAGTCATGGTTTGACTTCTTGCCCAATGGAAAAGAGGTTGGAAACAAACAAAGTCAACTCTATAGCCCACAAGAAGCGAAAGTAACCCAATCAAAAACCAAAAGTAGGCCTTCCCAGGTTTATCTAAGTTCAAAATCCTTAGGAAAATTTCTTGTCCTTACCGAAGGGGAGAAACTCTGAATGAGTGGTAGACAGAACTGCTCATACCAGATCAAAGGAGCTGGATATCCCTCTCACAAATACTGGTGTCCACACACAGCAACATACATGCCTGGTAAGAAAAGCCATACCCTGGCTCTTGTATTCTGCTGTTACATCTACAACTATTACTTATACCAGAAGAGAAATACCACTAAATGGAAGAAATCTTGTCTTCCTGACTTCATAAGCATTGTGTTAGAAAGCTAAATGCACAGCATACAACACACTATTAATCTGGAGCCATAATCTGTTACTATTACCTTTAACTCACTGTTCTGCAGCTTGCAGGTCATGGTTGACACCACATTTCTTTCATCAGCAGATTTCAAAAGCACTGCATACTTCACCATGCATTTTTAGATCTCCATGTCCATCCCACCTAAACATAAATTTAAAATTGTTTTCTTAGAAATCAATAATATCAGATGCTCATTGTAAGAGATGTCACAGGAGTCATTTAAGGTTTTCATGCATGGTAGAATACTCCCACTTACATCCTGAAGAACGTGGGGAGGTTCAAACAAAAGGATCTGACCACATATCTAAGACTAAACCAGCAACATATATCTTCTTCTCCCCACACCATAGTCCTAAAATTTAATGTCTATTATGAAACAAGTACCTTTCCATCTGCATGCAAAACTCACTGTTTTATGTTACCAGTCTTCCTGAGAATCCAATAGAAAAAGCAAGAAATTGTTAGTGGCAAACTAACTCTTGAAATCCTTTCCATCACAGACACACAGAAAACCTTGCAACATTCCTATATAAACATTTAGGAATACATGTCCCTTTTGATTATTCCACTGACACTGTAACCTCAGACATTGACTCTAATCACTTCATCCTCTCTCACATACTAAATTGTACTCAGCTTTGTTCTGTAATGTTATTGATAATGTTTTCGAACGCTACACGCACATTTACTGGAGCCTGGGAAAGTGCTAGTCAGGAAATTATGTAAGAAATGAACCTTATTTTGTTACTGCAATTCCGGCGGTTTTCCAAATCTTTGTGTCACTAATTGCACGTGATTATCCACAAAGAAAAGGGAGCTCTTCTAACTAAACAACGTAATTAATTCCATTATACAGAATACATAATTTACAACAATATAGGCCCAAAAATCTCAGGTGCCTTAGTAATCCATAATGATAGAAAGTAAACAATCCTTTTCATTATGTAATTCTGTATTTTTCAGTCTGTTCAAAATTGCTCATCCTTGCATATTGGTTTTTCAAACACGCTCTTAGTTACTCAAAAGAACATTGACATTAGCAGGATGAAACCTGTTGAGTCTGACTTAAAAAATGGACAATTTAAAAATAACTTCATATTTTTGTATCTCCCCCCCACTGCTCAAGAAGAACTGTCCGCTATTTAAAGACCATCACCAGTTTTGACTGCTAGTTGCAGACTTGTATAGTTGCTTCTCTTTATGAATAAAATTGTTTGCTTTGAAGTGCCATTTAATGGTTTGCTTCCCTAATGTGACATTTTATATTCTTTCTTGTACCAAAAGAAGTGGAGTGGTTTGGGGGTGTTACAGGCTGCTAAGACTGAAATCTACACTGATGGAATTGCTTCTGAATAGTTATGTAATAAGTAATTGTAAATTTGACAATGGAAAACACTGCCAAAGCAGTGAAAGCTATTCAAAACCTCAGATTTTGTTCTCAGCATATTACTAAAATCATAGGCTGTTTCCTGCTTTTTGTGTGGATAACAAACACATGAAGATTCATGGGGGACAGGGGGCAGGGAATCAAACTCATTCACTTTACTTGCTTTTCCACAATCCAGATTTATGTTCAGTCACTTTTCACCTCTGAGACAAAATCTCACATCATTAAAGAGAGAAGGCTAAATCATTCATTTAAAGGTAATTCCCTTTGATCACCTTAATAATGTAGACACACATAAGGAGGTTAAGGAGGTTACAGCTGGGTAGTGCAGTGGAAGAGACAAAAGCTCAAAATTCAGTTAAGAAAACAGTAAGCTTGCTCTTTGCTAATACCATCATCAGTGCTTTTGTTCTACAAATGCTAACAAAGTGACAAGCACAGCAGTGTAAAAAACAAGTGCTATGCTAATTAGTGGGGCATAGGCTACTCATGCATGGCTGCTCTTCCACTGGTAAAGGAAGGTGCTCTTTGCTATTATGCTTTTTGTTTCAAAACTGAAAAGGAGATACTTCCCAACATACAGCAAAACAAAAAAAGAATAAAGTTACTTCAAAAGTCACTACATGAAATGGACAATAGAAGACTGCTCAATACTTCATTATATTGCAAAAGGAGAAAGAAAGGTCTTGAAAACAAATGAGACTTATTGCATCAATAATTTTCAAAAGAATGATGATTTTATATTTAGAAAATAAGTCAGACACTGGATTTCACAACCATATGTGGAAAACATTAAAGGGAAAACTGGAGGGGATTGCCAAGGCAGTGTGGGGCCAAGAATTGCTATTTTTTTTTTACACCCACCCCAAAACACCAGCGGGGGGGGGCAGAGGAGAGGGGACAAGTTTCACATAGCTTTCCTCTGCAACTATTGCTAAAATAAATTTGACTAGCAATACGCAAAAACTGTCAGTGCTGGACTGCTACAGAGACTGAATTATGCTGACAGCACCAGAACTAGTTGGGCAATTTTGGGACAGTTTCCAGCATTACTGCCCAGTTTCTGCTGGCTTATGAATAAATAGGAAATTTCAGTCTAATTATTCCAATGCAATTTGTGAGCTGAAGAGACAGTAGATGGAACAGCAAGACTTCCCAGTCTTCCCTTAGAAGTGCATGAGAGGATTTTTACAGTCAATAAGCAGTGCACGTTAGCCAGAATTTTACTGTGAACAGCAGAAAATTTGCGACTATACTGTCAACATAGGTAAAAATGAATGGCCAGAATATGCATTGTTACCACTTTCTTCTGAATATGTGTACCAATAATAGCAAAAAGGATCTTGCTCATAGCCCTCAGAACATTACTTCATTATTAGTTCCTTCCTTTTTGAGAAAAGATTACACCTAGTGAAAATTTGTACAACTTAAAAAGCCAAACTTTTTTTTTTAAGCCCATCCAATTCTGCCAAAAGGCATATGGTCCTGTTGGCACTTACTCTATTCAATCCTTTGCACATTCAGAGCATCATATCAATATTGATTAATTGTCAGAAGAATGCTTGTATGAGACAAGCAAATAGAAATATGACAGCCAGATGCTATAAACAGCACTGTATTCAATCAGATCATCTTCTTGTTATCTTATCACTGCTTTTCCTTAGTATTTTCAGCCTGGATAGTGTAACTTAAGTCGCATATTCTCAATAAGCATACAACACAGTACACATCTACGTAATTAACTACAAGTTGCAAAGTGAATGAATCATGGCGGGTAGGGGGAATGGAGCACACCATTCCTTTGTAAAATTAGAAAACATCTTGGGATTTTTATTTGAAAACTATGCAATGCAATTCCTAAACTTCCTTTTCATCCCAGTGTTTCCCAGATACTTTGTCCTTCACAAGACTGCATTTGCCTCTAGGGAAAACACGGTATTTCCACTGTTCAAGCATTACAACTTGGCAGGGCAGAAGAGGAAATAAAGCATATTTAACTAAGTGAAACTGCAAATTGCATTTAGAGACTGAAATAATGCAGAGAGACTAAGAGTGAATGTCCTCCTCTTAAAAAAAATGGCACAGAGGTTTTAAGAGCCACAGCTTGTCAGCTGTCTTCCTTTTTGTCACTACTGAAGGAGCAATGCTGGCTCCTTAAAAGGATGTCTGTGTGATCCTTCCATTCTCTAAGGCAAAATATGAGAGGGATTAGATGACTCATCAGGGATCAAGACCTCACAGGACCCACTAACACTGCATCCCCAAGCAAAGAGTGAGCACATGTAGAACTCCTCACAATACTCCTATGGGAAGGTATGTACTGAAGGAATCAAGAGGAAATTGGGAAACAGACTGAAACCTGGAACCCTGGGAAACAGACTGAAAATGCTTAGACTCTGAAAGGACAAAATATATGGTTTTAGTTTACTGTTTTGCCTTCTCAGCAAAACAATCACAAGTCAGCCAGAACTAAAAGCAGTTCTGGTACTAAGTCATACTCCCACTACCTGGAACGAGGGTAGTGTTGCTTAGTGATCTGTGTTCATACACCGTTGAAGAAATGGGGAACAAATCTGCACGTCAGAACACCAACAGAGATTTCACAACTAATATCTTTATATTCTTCTTCTCAAAAGCAGTCAGGACAGTCACATTTCAAAGATGACAGCTGTCTTGACTGACCAATTTTTAGACTAACTACTCATGCAGTGACTCTTTAGCTCTTCTGTCACATTATAAAACTGCAAGCATTAGATATCTTGTGTACACCTGCACAGAGAAAAGTACCTCCCATTTACTTAAGACATACCAATACAGGATGTACTCCAATCCCTACATCACATATTATTTAATCACTTCTGAAGGCACTGGCTTTCAGAGATTACATAGTATGCTCCTATACCTACATAAACGTGGCATTTATCTGGGTATGGGTTTTGTTCCAGACTCTGTTGCTTGCCAGCTGTTACTCTGGGAGACAGATAAGGTAAATAATTAATAGGCAGCACATTCTTCTAGCTGCTAATGCTGTAGAACAATTTCTCAGAAGTTATCCCCAGAATTAGATTTAATACTGATTATTAAGCACTTGATAATATGTGTGGTAAAAGGCAGACAACTGTAACAGAATGAACAGCGCACAGAAGTGTTGATCTTTATCTTACTGGCTTTCTGCCTCTATTTTCATCAAATTCTTCAGGAGCTGATGACAGTAGATTAAGAAGCATTTTTTGCATGCAGACAGTAGTTTTCTAGCCCTCCTTCCTGCACTTCTATCACATCTCTGTTAATAGTGATATGTTTTCATTAGTGATGGGGCATCAGTAGCTACTGCCACAAGCTGTGTCACATTCAGGTGTGCACTGCTGTTCAGAAACAGAGGAACTGTTGGTCCCTCTTACAGCTAACCACACAGACAGGCTGTTCTACACAAAAACTGTCCACACCCAGCTGGGCAGACCAAAGAGACAGTCATCAGTACACTCAGATCCATTCCTTGTACATATGGCATTTTTATGTGCCACCACACATTTCAGAGGTGGAATCCACCAGGTTTTGATTTTCACACCTAGTTGTCAGAACCAATGGACCCTTCCCTGAGGTCTTCTCAGCCCTGAGCTGCAGAAGAGTCCACTGTCACTGCTCACGATGGAATAAAAGTTATCTTA